GAGCCGCCACCTACTTCAGGTGAACGTTATTCACTACGGCCGATGGAAGTGAAGAGGACGCTCAGCACTTTACATTCATTTGTTTTAAAAGTATTCCCGGTGACCAACGTGCCTAATAACCATAGCAGCGTTAACTTCAGTCCCAATTGAGATTGCACGCCGTAATCCAAACTAACACACTCAAGCAACGAGTGAATTAAAATGAATCACACTCATATCTTAGCACCCGGAGTAAGTGTAGCTCAGCCTGACCCCATGCATTAGAGTTAGAGACCGACGTTTTCCAGAAGTCTCGGATGAGAGTACCTTTCCTACTTTCTCTGCTCATTCAGTACAAACACGTAGGAAACCGAAAACGGAATGCAGTAATTGGCGGGGCAATTTTGGACCATATGTTGTGTGCTTGGATTATGCAGCATTTTCGGGAGGACAACTATCACTTTCCATCTGATTTGACTAGGGTCTCATTAATGGCAGCGACCAAGATTTACTTCACTGTGAATCACGGTCCACATTGAGGTTGCATGTCGCAATCCAATCACGTAACGTGTAGTCCAAAATTGACCTACCGTTGTGCCAAGCGTTGCCTATCGTGACCCGGTAGCCGAAGGGGTAAAAGTTTCGGTTATTATTCCAGTGGTCGCGGCTTCGAGGCCTCCTATCTTCACTTGATGAGAATTAACGCAGTGTTTTGAGCGAGCAATACCTCACATTCACTTTCTCGATTTCTTCGTGGCGTTGAGGTGTTTGCAGAACGTTGACCGGTATAGAGCCATTCGCTTCTCCGTTTGATATAAACCTAGCAAATGTTCTCTAACGTATGCTTGGTTTATAACTCCTTCGCCGTTTCACCTATGTGAGCGTTCCTTCTTCCACAACTGCTAAACAATTTGACGAAAATCCAATGGACTGGCTGTACCATTTTGCACGTAAACTTTAAAATTTCGTTTAGACTGCTGTCGATTACTGCTAGGATCCGACTACGTAAGTGGAAATACGGGCTTAGTACCACCTACCCTAATTCAGTGGGTTTTAAATGCAAAGGAACAACTTGTCATCTATTTCCTAGCAATCGACAAAACATGAAGACCACGAACCTATCAGTTGCTTTTAACTAAAAAATAACCTTGGAAACTGGTATTTCAGGTTAGCAGGATCGTACTTATCGTGACGGATTTCTTGCTACGTCATTTTAAAACTATTTACTTAAGGGTATATCTTATCGTTTGAAAATACCTAGTGGGAGCAATAAGAAGCCATCTTGTCTCATAGCAGTCTTTTTGACAAGGCACACTGTGCTCCCACATATAAGAATGGTAGTTTGCTACCAGAGAACAGTGCAGCTTGGTTTAAGTACAGTGAAATCTTAATGCTTTGTCAGTTAAACTGCAAAAGGGATAAAGTAGGTCAGTTGTTGTCAATATTGTCATGTACTTTAGAGGGACCATATTTGTATTTATATTAAAATACAGTAATAATACGGCGCATTTCTCTGCCCTCTTTTAGAAGCACTCCTGTGCAGTTCAGTTCCTGGTACTATCGAGATACCAGAAACGGACAACTACGAGACCAGAGTGCTAAGTAAATATTGCACAACGTTTAACTCTAATGGTGTATAGACAATGACGAGTCAGTTGGGCATTAGTTAATTTCAGCGTCACACCAGGTCAATGAACAGAATGAACTGAAACGATAGATTAAGTTAGCCATGCTCATCAAACATTTGAGGAAGGATACCGACATAATCCACAAGTAACTACGCCTGCCAAGCTAAAATATACTGGCACTTCCTTACAATTTAACTGGTCCTCGCCAACTGAAATTAGTAAAAGCAAACATGTTAGTTGATGATAGCAATAACCTTTCAGTCGCGTTTTCCAATGCTATCCCTTTTAGGATTTATCTAGAAACCCAGGATGCAGCTGACTTAAACAAAAAACGTTATAATGCTTTAGCATTTTAGTTGCAAACAGAACGCACACATTTCATGGAATTCAGAATGCTAAGATTTTTACAAGGTAACTAGCACTGCAATTAATGATAAACACTTAAATGCATTTTACTGGAGCCTACCTACCTTCTCTTTTTCATGCCAATGATTATGAGAGTTTCAGCTTTCCTACTCAGTGCAACATCTTATGTCACGGTCGGCAGCCTGAATAAAGTATAATAAGTATTTTCTTCTCCTTATTGTGAGAGCTCGATGGGGCCAATTCCTTGGGTGTCATCAACATCGTGCTTTTTTTGACAAAATTGACTGCACTTTTTGCTTAAAGAAAATGGGCCGTCGTTTTCCTTGATCGTTCTGGCAGCAAACTCTGTCTTCTCATCCAAACAGATATGTGAGGTAATATAACTGGTGCAACTAAAGTTTTATCAGCGTACGCTTGTGACTTGCAGGCCTAAGACACTTGAGCTACAGATATAACCAGATCATATCGGCTTCTGGAGTACCGACAGCCTAAAACTCTCGTATTAATTTGCCCAATTGTTCCAGTGTACAGTGCTTTTATGGTTTAGTATTTAATTCTTATTTTAATGCTTTGGTTTCAGCATAAAACCAATGAGAACTAATGCGCTATTAATGGCCCGTTAGGTAACCTTTGGCATTTTATGTAGCAATCTTAGAACGAATCATCATACACTAGAAGAACAATTTTTGGCGCATCCTTTGCTGGTACTGTAGATACCACTTTATGGTTCAAAGCAACGACAACGTGCAGCAATATTTGATTTTAAAGTCAACTTAACACAGTAATGAAGACTTATGGCTACACCAAAAATGTTTTTGGTGAAGTAAATTCGTCCGAAATGCGTCTCACTAAGACGGCCAGAGGCAAAAAGCAACCAGTCAACAACAATATATCTGTCACTTGCACTGGATTACTCACGAGTTTATCAGGTAAATTATCATCATCCACATCAGTGCACTTCAGCCCAGGATGTGCGACACACCTCCGCTAAGGTGTGACAATACAAGAAATAGGAGATTAAGCAATGCCGACTAAAAACAAAAAAGTAGGCAGCCCATTGCCTAATAACACATTTTTGATGGTTGTTGGTGGGGGAATCTAGGAGTGCGGGGGTATGAAACTCACGGCCTAAACGCGATTGAGGGCGGTGCATCGCCAGGGCAACAAGTGTATTCAACCCAAAGCTTACATTGTGCTGTGGTCCCCAACCCTGCTGTCGGGCAAAAGCAACCAACGCCAAGTACTTGTTTGGACCTACATAGCTTTAGATTAATATATTGCTTAGCCCTTCTCCTCAGATTCTATCCAAACCCCGGGCTCACAAACAATGCATGATACGAGAGTTGGTGTACTGCATGCGCAACACAACGACAGTCTTTTCGAGCCTGGTAAATGGTACAACTGTGTTGAGCGGTTCATTTGCTATTCCTGCACAAAATATTTGCTAACTAGCATTCCCATGGGTCACCCGGGATTCCTACCAGACATAAGCCACTGCGCGAATGTAGCGAGGATCGAAAGTAGCTAGCGCTTCATGTATCTCGACCTACTAGGCCAGGTTTCAAAACCGTACAGCCGGGTTGCACGGACGGTTGCATTATGGAAGCTGCCATTCAGAGCAGGATAAATGTCACGCCGACGGCACAAGTAGCAGTGAATAAGCGAAGCATAGCAATTTTCCGCTCTAGGTTACGTAAGCCCATCGTCGACCCCACTGACCTAGTATGGCTGCTCAATTACTTAAAATAGTTGACGACTTCTAGCTGCTCTTCGCCAAGCTACGACACCGGCATTGGTCTCTGCCCATCATGTAAATGGACTTATGTTACGACGGCGAACAGCGTATTTTGAATCGAATGACAGCCAGAGATCTTTTGTCCACTGCAATTTGCCCTATTTGGGAACTACCGCAGGTAAGGAAAATAGTGTCGACATACACCAAGTCCGTAGGCCGGTTACCTGGAGGCAGGTCCAAACAATGTAGGTTGTGTCAGCAGAGGGCCGTTTGCATAATTTTTTCGGTGGTAAAGTTAAAGAAAAAAAGTGACAGCAGGCAGCATTTTTTCACACTGATGGAGATATTGATGAGTAGCTATAGCTTTCGCTAAGCCCATACTGCCCGAACTATGCGTGTATAGCGCTTTGCTCATCTTTACGTATTTTTGAGTCACAACTTTCTAGGGTCGACAGTCTTACCTATCGCATCGATTCAACAAATCGAAGGCACTCTTGGTGTCTAAGAACACGACTACACTGGGACGCTAATAAATATGACGGTGCTCCAACAGTTCACGTAATGGAGAGATGTGGTCAACGCAAGCTTGAGTTCGACGAAACTCGACTTGCTCATTATATGTCTAACTTTCACGAGTTACAGTAATTCCAGAAAGCAGTTGAGATCTAACTTACTCCTATATAATGACCGCATTTGAAACGGGTTCCTATTTTCAATCTTTGGATCCCTAACGGAGCGGCATCAGTCGGTGGTAACAGTCTTCAGCTCTGATAGATTCGCAAGTGTGTTGTGAAATATCTCAAAGGATTACGCCCCAAGGACTTAAAATGCTGGGTGAAGTCCGCCTGCTTCTGCGCCTTCATTCAATTTCGGCCGTGTAACTTACATTCAGTTTCTGCGCGTAAGAGCGATTCCAATGGGACGGCCCAGGGAAAAGAGTGCTCATTGGTTGATGGAAAAGCTGACAATACTGATTGAGTAAACAGCCTCACAAAGTGTTCGCCTAAACTAACAGCGTTTTAACAAGCTGTAAATCGGCAGTCCTATCTCTTCGCTTATAATCTCGCTAAAATGAGGCATCCTGCTCTCTGCCTGGTTAAGGGGTTAAAGAAACATATTGTAATTAACTATCAGTAGCCTAACAAAGCATGTTATTAGTTATTACCATGCTTTTGCAAACAGCGCTATATATTCTCCCACTTCCTTCCGAATTGTACGGATAACCAAAAACAGGACGAAATACGTCGGCTATCTTTCCAGCACAAAGGACTAGTGTTAAAATTGTTACCCACCTTGTTGTTCCATCGTGTAGCGTGTGCTTTCCGACTATTTTGAAACGTAACAAAGCTGAAAAATAAAGCGTTTGACTGGATAATAATTGCAACCTTAGAAAACATACCTTGTTTTTTGCTCAGTTGAGCAGATTAATAGTGAGTTCCGTATCACTCATTAAACGAGACAGCAGTGTGTTACAGCGTTTTGTCATAATATAGCCATAAAGCTGAGAGGCAAAATCTCATATTGGCCGTGTGGCTTTTAAACGTTACGAAAAATGATTACAAAAATAATTTTAATAAAATATCACTGTTCAGCTATGTCCGCACCTTATCTAAATGTGCCTTATGACTATACGTGTTCAAAAGCTTAAGGCGCCGTAATTGTTTAATAAATGCGTTAGAGCAAAATGGCGCAACCGACCAGTGAATATTTACTAAATTGCTACCATTATTATACTCACGAACAATAGCTTTTGCTGCGAATAAATGGAGTAGTTTGCCGCAGCCTACAGACCAGATAGTAATTTAGTTGATTTGAATGATGTTAGACCAATGGTTCTTCTCGTCGGTGAGCGCTAGTAATTCGCATTATTTTGCTCTTGACAGATCCAAATCTAACATGGCTAGCAGCTTACGGCACCAAGCTAGTGGTGTTTATCACTAAGTCAAGTTGAGGTTCAGCATACAGTCATGGTTTCCAAATTAGCTGCAGTTAAGCGCAACTTAATCAGCAACGATATGCAAGTTTCGAACGTTGCAGTAGACGTGGTTGGTCCCTAGATGCAGTTAACTTGTGAGGTTGCGAAATGCCCCTCTCTCAATGGCTTAGACGTATACTTTACTGGTGAAAGTCGCAGATCACTAATGATCATAGTCTTGATTTCATGATAGAGCCGATGAATGTGCAACCCTAAGTATATTTATAACCACGAAAAGGCCGTCTAGTACATTTATTGGCCTGTAAAACAATATATGTTTTGGGGGCTATGGCGGGGATTCCTTTCATTCAAATTAAGCACTTTGCCACGAGTTGCAATTTCATAATAAAACTATTTGTTCCCAGAATAACAAGTTGGAAGCATGGGTAGTAAAATTTTTGTTATAATAGGAGCAGTGCACAATTAAGACAAAATAAATATATTTAAAAAGTGATTAAACATATTGTTTAATATTTCTGAAGAAAATTAGTTCAACCATAAGCTTAGCCTCTCCGAGACAAAGTTTCCATTTGTATTTAACTGTGATATGCCGTATTTGCCCGGACTCGTTAATAATACGGATACCGTTGATTTGCACATTTAAGGCACTCCTTTTTCACTGTATAAAAGTTGTCCTGCTGATTTTATTCAAATATTTTTGTTCCAGGAAACGTTTTCTTTTATGTTGGCTTATCCAAGGTGAAACTGTAAGAGTTAACAATCTGTTTACTAATTTATATGATCAACTGTGTCATATGAGAGAGAAATACTATCCTGCACGTCGTTTACATATCAGTTTAAGAAATGTAAAAATTAAAGGTTAATATGGTTAGGAAGTGTGCTTCAGTAAAAATGGTGGTGTTAGCGGTGTAGAAAAAAATATAATTGCACTTCATTTTTTGACTATTTCCGCATATCTGGAATTATTCCTGATGATGACGTACAACGCTCTTAGCAGATGCGTCAACATTTTGTTGTAAAGGCCTAAAACATTTCACAAAGTTGTCTGAGTTAATATAGAAGCTACAATGTTTCGCACATTTCTGCAAACAGGTTTCGGGTATTTGAACAATTTTATCAAGGCTGTACATATAACTTGCAGACCGCTTTTTTATTTTACTACTTTTGTGTTTCACCGCAGTGCACTGTGAGTGATTTAAATTAGATTATATGGTAGCCAGCACCATAAAATCCACTGGATTTACAAAGAAACTCACCGTTTACTTAATACACACTTCTTAGCTTAGTAAGGGTTTTATTAATTTGGTCAACAGCAAAAGGCCGTTCATTCTATAAATGAGCTTATACTTTGCTTGAAAAACCACAGGTGTTCTTTAATAAATTATGGTCTTTGCGTTTAGTCCAAGTCCAAAGGAAACTTTAGTCACTGTCAAGATCTGCCAGCAAGGGATTAAACACGTCATCTGCAAACTACTTAGCCAAAAAACCATGAGTTGATGATTTTTTCTGTATAAATTTAACTTTTTGAACAGATGCTCCTGCAAACTGCATTTTTAAATGTTATATGCTTTGTTTGACTAAGTATATAAAACAAAACATTAACGTAGCTAGTTCTACTGTAAACGTTGACACTCATAACTATGTTCTTACTAAAAGCGAATCGTCCATATATTCTGATAAGTCATTTTCGAAAAAAAAGTGAGGGCAAAAATACGATTTTCTTGTGTTTTTCTTTAATCTCGTAAATTTTTAAACGAAGTATTTACATGTGCGCAATTTTATTTTAATGAAGTCTATAAAAGAAACATAAATGCTAGGAAATACTTCGCTTGTAATTTCTTTTTGCATCATTTTATCTAAGAATTTGGGTTAGCTTATCTAATATTTACCTAACATTCCAAGTAACACAATGAATTAAGAAATTAGATGGCAAACTTTACTGTATCTTGCGTTGCTATTAAAGGGTAGATGTGCTTCATTTGCTTTGATAAATAAGCGTGCTCTGGTCAAAATCAGTTGTGGATAAGAGTACGGAGTATACATTACGTGCATAAGTAGTTTAGTAATCCTCAAATATAATTAAGCTTGAACTGCTATTGCACAATTGCTATTTGCACAATGGTATATCCCAGGAATTTACTTGGAATATTTTTAGGTTGCAGATAACAGTAAAACAACTTATTTTGCAACTTTTTTAAGCACTAAACGCCTAGATACTGATTTTTGCTATTTAGGTTTAAAATTCCGGTGAAAGACAGACCTTGTTGTTCTTAAGCTTTATATGCTGATAGTAACAATTATTGTGGGCTACATAACTCAGGTTTCATTAAAAGAATACTACGGGAAAAACATTACATTCTTTGGTCCTTCTGACAATTAACTGAGTGATTATGAAACGGCTTTTCATTGTTGTGGAACTAAGCTCATCCATTTTGCTAACCTAACAGCACAAACGCAGGATATGAATTTATGAAAAATAATCGCAGTCAGCTAGCTACTGCTAAAGCAAAACGCCTTGTTGGGTTCCACGTCGTGTGTAAAATTTGAGTTTAGAAAAACCATCATGGGCAAATTTTATTGAAACAATTTTATACAGACAAGTAGAAACAGATCTATTCTCACTATCACTATCACTATTCTCACTATCAAGAAACTAAATATTCGAAATATTGCAATGCGATATAACATGTTACAATTATTGTTGCATATTTTTACAAAAAGCAGTAAGAGCGCATCCATGCTTTTTCTGTTATCAATGCAGCAACTTGTGACATACTTTAAATGATTTTTGTTATGTTTCAGATAAAAGGGCATACTAATTGCATGCATTTCCTTTTGCCTCTGTACTATGCACAATTACTTCATTTTTCTAACCTAGGTTTCCTAAATTACATTTTCTCAAGTATTGTACGGAGTACGGAAGTGTGTACACGCCTAATAATTTAATAAGTAATATATACAGTTATTTAGAATCTCGTTTTGCTTAGTGGATGATACATGCCAAAGAAATTGTAAGAATAACACGTCCTGCACTGATGCAGACTTCCTTGTTTCTTATAAAGCTTTAACTAGACGCGCAATTGTCTTATGTCGTTTTTAGATTGTTAATAAACTCAGGACAACTTTGCTTACCAATGTTTTGATAAACAAGTTGGTGAACAATTTAGTGAAGTTGTATTGTGGACATAAGCATTTATTGACGCAGTCCTTAAAAAGCCTGAGCTGGCAAAGTTACTGAATCGTTATTAACGTTTACCGTCAAGGCACACGTTTCTTTACTGTGACCTTAGCGCCTCAGGTGTATATTAATGCTGGAAATGTTTACTATTAAAACTTAGCACTAAATATGTTATGTAAACAAAAGAGCAACTTTATCTGTCCTGCAGCGGGTACCTTCATACAAATTTCAGCACTTACATGTCTTAAATTAAACAAATCGCAAGTGTGTTCCCACAACATGACACCACTCAAAATTGACGCTAGTGTTAGGTTCACTTAAAAAGATTTAGCTGCTAACCTACTGACATAATTTAAAGTTTACATTTAAAATACTATAATTAGTTTTACACTCATGCTGACATTGCTATAGGGTTTAGCACTACAAAACCAAATTTAATTTAAGTGGCATAGATCAACACATATAACACTGCAGTCCAAGAACAGAAGAACAAAAAGCAGCATAATTACTCAAGTCTTTATCACTTTGATTAGGTAGAAAGGATTTTACACGAACGCTTATGCTAAACACTGATGATGCTTGATCCGGTAATACTTACGCAACTTCAAAGCAATTTTGTTCTATGGTTGTAACCTACCATCTGAAGTGCTGCTATAAGCACTGGGTACAATTTGGATATGCATCTACTGAGCATTCCTTAATGTTCGACAAAGCAGTTGATAACTAAGCTTATTACGTAAGTCAAACTTTCTTTTAACCTTTGTATTATCGGACTTAATTAACCAAATGCAATAATGGTCAATATACAACGCTTATGAAAGAGATACTAATTAATACTGTAATTTACTAGGCAAATGTCCACTTATTTTCTAGTTAATTCCTAAGCTGGCTGTAAGGTGGCAAACTTATAGGTGTATTTGTTGTCACCTACCTTAAGTGTTTGTTTTAGCGTATCAATATATAGTAGAATTGCTTAAAACTCAACATTTACGTGCGAATAAGGATTAGGATATATATAATATATAGTAGATTAAATAATATTATAAAATACATGGTATTAAATTAATTGAATCTATTTTCTAAACGCTAATAAATGCTCTCAATAAATGTGGATATTAAGGGTCCCCCATAATGCGCTTAATGTACGTCATTTACGATATTAACAACGGATATTCTTGTATGTAAGTTTTAAATATAAAGCTCTACACAACCACGTGCATAAATGTGGGTTCTT